TTTGATTCGATTCAAACAAATGCACTTCGAGTTTGCTTTATGGCAAATAATATTTCTGTTCTGCTCACTCTTTCACATCCTTGCCAACAACAAAGCATCAGCAATGTAAAAACTAATGTTTTACTTGAATCAAATCGAATCGAAACATTACTAATTCTATGAAAACAAATATTAAAAAAATGAACTAAAGGAATCACAAATGAATCAAGTGCAATAAAAAGTACACACACCTTGTTAATGGATTTGCAAATTTGCGGAAACTTTTCACAAATTTTCTAATTTCGACATCCGTAAAACCGAATAGCAACTTCTTTCTACTAGCATTCGAACCACCTCCACGTCTCCGTTTATCGTCTTCGGAATCGTCATCTTCGCCGTCCGATTGACGATGTTTTCTGCGCTTCTTCCCTCCAGCACCACCACCCGCACCTTCATCGCTTTCGTCATCTTCATCAGCCATTTGTTGAGGAATCTTTAAACGTCAACTTCCGATTTTATCAAACCAAAATTTTTTAGATGAAACCAAATCTTTGCAAACAAACCAATAACAATCCATTTCTAATTGACTAAAAAATCTACTTGATCAATCATCATCGTTACACGGACACAGTCTGATGGGTTTCTCTCAAATGCTCATTTGATGCCTGTCTATCCTATGGACTAGAATATCCGCAATTTTCTAGTTCACTCGAAACGAAGAAAATTTCTCGTCTAATTAAAATTTACCCAAACTGGCCGGCACATCCCAAACGGCCGCATAAATGGGCATCTATCTGAATCACTCGGATATACTTCAACTTTTTTGAGGTATACTCGAAAAAACACTCAATTTGTCGCCATCGAATGAAAAATACTCAAATGAAGAAGTCTCTGCTAACCTTAGTTCTTTGCCTTGGTCCAAGAAATAAATCCTTTTCAGCCTTCTCACGTTCCTCTTCTTCTACTCGCTTGCGTTCCTCTTCCGGGATGATATCATCCCAGTCCCTCTGCTCTCTCGTTGTATTCTCCGAATCATCCACTTCAGCTCTATTCCAAACGGCCACGTC